TATATATATATATATATATATATATATATATATATATATATATACATGTAGAATGAACATATACGTGAGATATATTCATCAATTAAACGGATTCTTTCATTTTTCTGGACTGTATATAATGTGCATTGAATTTAGAAATGTAACGTGAGACGTTAATTATCTTTGACCCATCAAAATGAATGCGGTCATTTATTAACAGAATCAAAGTTTAACACATCACACATTTACATTAATTGGCAAAATATGGAAAATAACAACATGGCTAGTTTAGCAAACTGTACAATTTTGATTATCCACACGGCGGTGGATGAGAACTTTACACAGACATTTCTAAAATATCTGGAATGATTTCTACTTGATAGAAGAATTTTAAAGATGGAAAGATGAAGTTTAAAGGGAGAAAAAGATGGGTGAGGGGGTTTGTTTGTGTCAGCATTCAGGGCGGCACTCTCCGGGCTTTTCTCAGCTTCTTCCCCAGTACACTTAGGTGTTATAAATCAACTTTTTACCTGGAGATGTCCCCACCGGTACGAAAGTCCATTCAACGCACCCTTTCAGCGTCTCCGTAGGAACAGCTGTGAATCGTCCGAAGTAGTGACGGTATTCCGTCCGACACAAATTCACCTCACGAGTGGACTTCACATGAGTGGAGTCCGTCAGTGTTCCCCCCAGAGGTGGAAGATGTTATAATCCCATAAGACTCGGAAGAGCTCTGTGGTCATGTCAGGATCTTCCTGTTTCCCAGCACGGGAGCTGCAACGACTCCAAACTTGACTGCAAACTCGACTGGAAACTCCACACGACTCTCGACACTCTCCGCCACTCTCCAGACTCTGCTTTAAACTAGGAAGTACCAACATTTTAAAGAGCTCTATTTCCGGTTCATCTGGGAGTTTCTGATTGGTCAATATCGACCAGACAGGGGTGTGTTTTGTGACGTAAGAGGTTACTAGAAGTCAGAAAAACAGCAAGAATGTTATGGAACAGATTGAAAATGTTTTTAGACAGACGAGAGGGATATTTAGACGAGTTGGCGGAAAAACAGGTGCCAACTTCTCTATTTACGTCTGAGAGGATGTAAAAACACGACAGCTCATTCCAACACTTGTCTGCGTTTGAGTCCAACCTTGGACCAACACTGCTCATTCAAAGACAGAAAATCAGAAAATGCATAATTACTCTGTAACAGACCTTAACATGAATTCTAACTTTGCATGAGGATTAAAAATCGTTATTACTGTTTCACAGTTAATAAAAATTGATTAGTTCACTACAACATCTAAAATGGTTTGGACTAAAACACTTTGATTATCAACATTTGTAAAATAGTAATGATAATAAAAAAGAGAGTGTTCTTTCACTTGAATTTTCAAGAAAGAAAGTCTCAGGATGGGTCAACCTGTATTTCTGGATTCAAATCAATGAAATGACAGTTTCTGTCCCATATAGTTCTTAAGGTCAAATCCTGACCTTAGGCTTAGTTCACTACAGTCCCCCCTTTGGAAATCATCGCCTGTCCATGGGGATGAATTCCAACCTGAACTTACGCCTTCGAATGTTCTTGAGCTTGATGTAATCAAGCAAGGAAAACAAAAGTCAAAAGTAATCCAGCAAGGAAAACAAAAGTCAA